AGAGTGATGGAAAACTGGCCTTTCTTAATCATGGATGCCGTTCAACACCTGTTAATTGTTTAAGTCAGTTTTGTTTTTATCTCCACAGTATAAATTTGCCTAAATATGTTTTGACGCTTCTTTAAACTTATTTTGAGTTGCTTAATCAGACAAATTATAGATGGATGGGTGATGAGAGGGCGGATGGTTTGTTTGAGTAAATTTTTGTGAATTTCTTTGGCAGCGAAACTGCGAAGGGTGTTCGTGTTTTTTGGTTTGCTTTTTGCTTTGATGTGTTCTCTCGTCATCTGACAATTGCAGGATATCTACTTATCTATCTCCCTATCCATCTATCAATCCACCAATTTATACATTTACTCAACATTAGAATTTTGGATTCTTTTGTGTGAAAAGCGTACACTTGTAGATATCATTGACTAACTGCGGGAGTTTATTCTTATGTGATGCCGTACTTCTCCTTTGTGTCTTCTGCAATGTTTTTTGCGCTTTTAAAGTCGCATTTCAGCCCGGTTTTGGTTTTCGTTTCCTTAGACATATAACCCCAATTATCACAGAATATCGAAAATTTAACGAGCTTTGGTAGATGAGTAGCTTTTGAGCAATATTCTAATCGGCTGAAGAACATTTTTTTCAAGCACAAAGAATGTCGACGTAAGCTTTAACATGAGTTTCGTTCTTATGAACACGATTTGCAATCAAATCTAATGAAACTTATATCATACGAAAGGGTAGATCTTGAAGTTTATTTATCTTTTAGTTATTATGATGCGAAATCAAGAGTGCGTGCAAACACTGCAAAAGTCCCTGAAGGGCAAACGGATCAAATTTAGAATTAATTAGAATGATAAGTAGCATCATATAAACCATGTAAGTGAAAAACACTCCAACTAACTTCAACTTTCAACACACTACTGCGAACCTGTTTTGAAGTTTTCGCAGTAGTGTGTTGAAAGTAGAAGTTAGTTGGAGTGTTTTTCACTTACATGGTTTATATGGCGTTAAGTAATACTTTCTTAGCTTCGGTCAGTATAATTTCACAACGATAAGTAGCATGTCAGCGATTTTTCCCCTGAAGGCTGCATTCCTTAATTCATTAAAACAAAGGGTTTATCAAACAAAGAAAGGACACCAAAGCCTGTTTCTGTAAACTTCGCTGTATTTGTAAGCGCTTTCAATTTCGCAATATACTTCGACCTCTTATCAGTTTTATGATGTAAGTTTCATACGATTTCATTCATATCGGTAGAAATCACTTATATCACTCGACGAATATCACTCTGGTTTCGCTGTTCGCTAACTGATCATAATCTTCATGATATCACCATGTTTTATTTCGTTTAAAGTTCCATTATTGAGATGCTACACCTTTCTTTTTTCGCATTATACTACTAAATCTTAGCTTTCATTTTATGTAAGTTTCACACATAATGTTTTAATCAAATCGCCACCTGTGGCGCTCCGTTCAGTCGTGGAGGCACTTGACAAAAACAAACAGACGGATATTTCAAACCTTGATTTTCCCAAGGCTTTCAACACAGATGATCATGTCATTCTTATTGAAAAGCTGAAATGGTATGGTGTCACAGGTCAACTGATAAACTGGTTTTCCGACTACCTAAAGGAGAGAGAGTTGTAATTGACAGCATAGCCTCTGAGCGTCTACTGGTTACTTTCGGTGTGCCTCGGGGTAGTATTGTCGGCCCACTCCTCTTTGTGATATTTATCAATGACTTTTCTGATCCCATTCTCGATCGAACCAGCACTGCCTTGTAGCTGATGATACCTAGCTGCGCCAAACTATTTAAACAGTGAAAGACAGTGGTATTCTCCAGCAGGAGCTGACAAGTTTGAACACCTGGAGCCATGAATCAGATCTGAAGCTTAACGCTTATAAATGCATAGTGTTAACAGTCACACGAAAGAAAACACCTGTAACTCACGATAATCACCTCATCAATGTAAACTTACGGCGCGTTCAGGAAGAAATAGATCTTGGTGTTACCATTTCTAGCAATCTATCGTAGTGGGACTCGCACGTTTAGCGCATTGTACCCCAAGGCTAATAGATGTTGAGTCTTTTAAAGAGGACTTGCCCACTTATCACCGATATCAAGGTCATGCGGACACTTAATTTACTTCTCGTGAAGTCACAGCTTTCATATGCGACAGAGGTATGGTCTCCTGCTAGTGTTAAATTTGAGAACGATCTTAAAAAGAGTACATTGGCACGCGACACGCTGGATACTAAGAACTACAATTGGCGAGGAGTCCTACAAACAACGACTGCTGACTCTTCGTTTACTTCCATTAACTTACGACAGTAACTGCCTTACCTCAGTCTGACTGATTTTAATAGTACTTTACTGTGTCCTATTAGCAATTAATTAGATTTACTGTTATTTTATTAAAAGTTAAATTCCTTATCAGATTTTTTATTAAATTTGGGTTGCGCCTCGCATGGGAAACTTATCGCGTTCGCGCGATCTCTTTTGGTCTTTTTATTTCTAATATTGACTTACCATATTGTATGTTACTTATGAGGCCAATAAAGTTGACAATCCAGAGGCCTTCAAACAAAACTGGAGAATCGCTTTCAGGCCTCACAGCCACCCTTTCGAAACTGCAGGAAAGACGATCCTAGGCTTCAAGAAGGAGAAGAAAGAAAGATGGATACAAAAATAGACCTGGAAGAAGATAGGAGAAAGAAAGAAGATGAAAGAGACGATCAACTATGTTTGGTAAGAACAGATACAGAATCAGCTCAAAAGGAGATGTGCAAAACTGAAGGAGTAAAGAGGATGACCAAAATCGATAAGAGAGAACGCGTAACAGACGAGGTTGAGGAAGCTATCTTGAGACGAGTCCTAAAGACTCTCGACTGGATCAAAAAAACTTTCAACAACAGACAGTAGCAATGACGCCTCGGTGAAAGAACACAAAGGAAAAACCATCTCCAAGGAGACGGACAGATTCACTAAAAGGAATCCCCGTGCAGGTGAAGGCTGAAAGATTTTCATGGACCCACCTACCCTGGTGGAGTTAAATCAAAGCAACGAAGAGAGAAAAGGCAGAGTGAGGACAGAAATGCTTAAGCCAGAAGAAACAGAAAAACCACGTATACTGACAGAAATAGTCAGAGACATTTGGGCTGACAATCATATTCCAGAAACATGTAAGACAGGACTTATAATAAAGCTGCCCAAGAAAGGAGGTTACGTTAAGGGGAATGCAAAATCTGAAGGCAACAGGCGGACTTTTGCCCACGGACGTTTGTTCAACCTTCACCCAAAGGTAGACTCTGGAGCAGACTAAAGAGTGGATTTCACCATTATAGACCATCTCCAACGATAAGCAGCATGAAGAACAGATGCAGAACCCATCACTCGACTGGTCCAGAGAAAGAAAGGTAGAGATCGATCGGCTATGAACTCCGAATTCTACCATTAGCTCAGCCTAGCGGTCGCCTTGCGACAGACTCGCGACGGCAGACGAAAGAAAGACTGCCCTAAAGAAACTTGGAGGAGAACCGTAGAAAGGGAAATAAGGGACACAAGTTGGACGTGCGGGGCAGCTTTACCGTGTGGCAACTGACATTGACAGAAATCATTAGCGTTCTCTGGTCGAGGCCGTATGTGCATGGAAGAACTTACTATTTCATTTTGGTGAAATAAACGATAGAAAATTCATTTACTTAGGTCTGCTGACCAACTTCTACTGGAGCAACCAACACACAAGCTCAAATTGATTGGCCTGAGGACTTTCTCAGTGTGCACGCCTTACCTCTGGAACTCGGTTCCAATTGAGATTAAAAGCAGCGCATCTGTCTCCATTTTTAAAGCTAAGCTTAGGACCTATCTTTTTCGACAAGCATATTTTTAGACTGTCAATTTTTACTTCTTTTTCGATTTTTAGGATTTTTAGATTTTTGAATTTTTTCGATTCTTAGGACTTTTTTACATTTGCTAGTGTATAGGTTATAATATTTATTTTTTATTTACTTAAATAAGTGCATTATCTGCGGTAATTAATGATTACATCCTGCAACTTTCTTGCGGATGGCAGTACAGATGGAATAATAGGAAAAAATCCTCAAGGCGTTTTACTAGTTCGAACAGGAACACAAAAAGAAAGATGAATAAAATGAGGCAACTTCAAATATAGAGAGATAAACTGTCGATTGTTATTAAACTTTTTCTTTAATCTCGTTGCCGTCACCGTCATTTTTACTATTATCGTTATCAATAACATTATTATTATTATAATGTCTTTCATCATTATCACTATTACTACTGTTTTTTTTATATATCTGTTTATCTGTTGTTGTTGTTGACTTAATTTCTTAAGACTTCTGGGATGCAGACCAATGCCGACAGTTGAAGTTTACGCCTGAGAAAGAGTTTGACAACAAACGCCTCAAAAACCATGTGATCCGCATTGTTGAAGTCATGACGATAAATTTTTGTGAGAACATGTGTTATATGGAACCCAACTGTGTCAGCATTAATATTGAAAAACGAGTGGGTCTACACGGAGGATACAGCTGTGAATTGAATAATGTCACTCACGAAGGACACGAACTCGAACTGGAGAAGGAAGAAAATTATTTTTATCATGCAGCTGAGGTGGGTGTTGCTTTATTTGCAAGTACTCAGTTTTGGTAAAACAACTACTCTCGTGATCATAAACCTTCAAAATGATTGCTTCAACTCGCTATTATCATTATCATTATCCAAATCGTCATCATTATCACTATCATTATCGTTATTGTTTTTTCTACGTATCTAGTTGAACGTTCTCGGTTTCTACTACATTCAAATAGATCTTTCTAAATTCAAAACTTGAGACATAAATTTAAAAATTAATGAATCGACCAAACTGCAGTATTAATATTTCAACGTATGATATTAAGACGGTTGATATTTTTTTCTCCTTTCGGCTTCAGAGCGCTTGTGTTGAAAACCCTTGCAAAAATAATGCTACTTGTCAAAGCGGTTTTACCAACAAAGGATATCGCTGTTTGTGTACTGCTGGATTCAGAGGTCAAGACTGTAAAAAAGGTAAACCTCATCACACGGTTGAAAACAATTGCAACACCGCAGTAAGCTTGTGTAGGTTCAACAATATTCTCCATTTACTCGGAACAAAACGTTGACAAACGGCTCACCTTCGATCCCTCCAAACTGAATCAAACAACAGCACTTGCATCTGTAGCTCGCCTCCAGTCATCTCTTTTCCAACATGCCATCACGGAATCGCAGGAGACAACCACTTCAATGTCTTTCGCGCACTTTATTCGTTGATATCTTAAAGTAACGAAACGACTGGGAACGTGCCAGGCAGGCAGTGTCCTGATGAAACCAGTTTAAGTTTTCCAAGCTGTGAAATTCGAACAAGGCTAAAGCTTACGATTACGTCAACAAAAAAATCAAACAATTGAGTTGTTGCTTTGCATTTTTTTTCTTAATTTGAGATTTTATTTGTGCAGTGGACAACAGAAGCGTCAGGTGTAGCTCTTTCAATTAAGAAAACGGTATTAATTGAAAATTTTATAGATGTTAATGAGTGTACTGAGGAGTTACACAGCTGCAGTGCTGATGCTGTGTGCACCAATACCAAGGGATCGTACAATTGTACATGTAACCCTGGATATTCTGGAGATGGAAAAATTTGTAAAGGTAAATCAGTTGATAATAAAATAATTTCATGATTAATGTATGAAGACAAATTAACGTCAGACGAACATATATGAGCAAGTAACAGCGATGATTTTTATCGCACTACACAAATTTTATAAATTCTCTAGATTTGAAGTATCTTTTCAGATAGGGATGAGTGTGATACGGAAAGACACGACTGCAGCGCTGATCATAGAAATCGAGTTGACAACAAGAACAATTGATTTTGAAAACCGTTTCTACACTGACAAGCGAAAATCTCTGTTTATATTTTCAGCTTCATCATGTAAGGAAGTTTACGAGAAAAATGGGTAAGTCAGAAGTGCCGATCAAAAAGGATGATGAATCAAAGAGGAAGAAGGGTAAAGCAGTCATAAAAATGATGATTGCGATAAGCTAAAAGCAGAGAAATATCAAAACAAATGCAATTAACAAGACTCACGAGAAGTTTGCATGTTTCACTCAATTCTATAATTTTTGAATTTTTGCTGTCTCTAAAGATCTGGAGGATTGATCACATGACCTTATTATTTGATCACATGACTATTATTTGTTGCTACGAAATACGTAATATGGGATATGCAAGTCTCAGCTCTACTGACGTTCAGACTCATTATTCAGTGAAAATTCAGCGCTATGGCCTCGTTTGAAAATGATATAAGAGGCATGCTTTCTTCACAGTCACTTGTAATCAAACTTGACTTAATGTATAGATATGTAGGACTGTCAAGTTTTACCAACGAGCTAATGTATCTCTTCTTCTGAGAGGATTATATGTTAAACAGATTCAACACGAGTGGTGTGAAAATTCTTCACTTCGGATCAGGACCAATATCCATTTTTTGTCACATGGGAGATTTCGGATGTGGAAATGGGGGCTGGACGCCGGTAATGAAGATTGATGGGAATAAGGTACCAACTTCACACGTCGATGTTTAGTTGAGTTTGGTATAAAGGGGAATTCGCTTGCATTATCTTTATGACAATCTTTGTTTTAGGTTGAACAAGAATTTTAGTCTTCATTGACTTAATTATACCGCCATAGTGTAAAATTTGAACTAAATACGAAAAGAGCAACATGGATGTTAAACCCGTAACCCGCTATCTGTAAATATGCTTCTTAGTTGTACAGATCTGGAGTGTTTAGGTAATAGTGTCCTGGTGTAGTGAATATTATAGGGTATTTTTTTATGCATTGTAACTGCTCATTATTAGCGCTATTAACTCAATTTTTTTTTATCTAGGAAACGTTTCACTATGACTCTTTGTTTTGGAGCAACACGACCGAATACAACAGTGCAGGAGGCATGACTGGGTTTGACTCACAGGAGACAAAACTACCGAGCTACTGGAACACATCCTTCTCCAAGATCTGTCTCGGTATGAGGATCGGCCAAACGATTAACTTTACTGTAATTAACAAGCGGGCCGAATCTCTTTACTCACTGATTGCAGACGGTCAATACCGCCAAACCTCACTAGGGCGTGATACATGGAAGAAGCTGGTTGGTTCAAAAGCCTCCTTGCAGACCAATTGTAATAAGGAAGGGTTTAATTTGTACAGCTCGCCTACACATTCCAAAGCAAAGATCGGTATTATTAGTAACGAGCAAAACGACTGCGAAAGCTGTGATTCCAGGATCGGTTTTGGGACAGGAGGTTACCCTAACAATTCAAATACGTGTGGAAACGTAGCCAAACACCATCAAGATAATGGGGACAGAGACATCAAGGCAATGGGATATATCTTGGTACACTGACAATTGAGCAATGTCGATCATTAAGCTGGATAACTTTAACATAATTTCGCTACCTGACACAGCAAGTTAAAAGTTTATATATTAATACTTCGGTACGATAACAAACTACGTGATCTGATGTAGTATTGAATGACATGCAGTTATACAAATCGTATCGTAAGAGGCCGTAAATTTTCATACTTTTTATTTGGAAAATATTAAATCGTAAAGGATAAAAGTGTTTGGCACATTCCTATCGTCATATAAGCATCCGCTGTCAATCAAAAGAAGTCTCAGCATTACGGTGTTTGTGCTGGGTGTAAAAAATAAAAAAGAATAAAACACAAACAAATAGTTAAGAAAAATAACACAAGCCAATCAAGTCAGCCCTCTGAACTATGCCGTGACAAAGCAAGTTTTACTTATGATTGTAGAACTTGCGTGCAAACGAGATAAAGCGTACAACTTATACTAGAGGGTCTCATGAGGTGATGGCTTTAATTTACTGTCAATGGTTAAGTGTTTTTGGCCAATTTACGGCTAACGGTTGATATCTTTCCATTGTGGTGACCAGAAAAATTTTCATGGTTCATTTTTTTTCTACGACTTACAAGTAAAGTTTGTCAATTTTTACGCCTAACGGCTTCACTTTTAGCCGTTTTACAGCTAACGATTAACCCCATTAACCCTCATATCAGACCCATGGAATAAGTTTGGTGTAGTAAAAACCAAAACAGCAAGATTTCCGAGAATTGTTACGATTATTAGCGTTGAAAAACGACTGCAAAGAGAAATGACGAGTATTCACATCTAGCCTCGTGGTACCACAGGTGACCCAAGCCTACTGTGTGTGGTTTTGGGTTTTAAAGGTTATTGATACGAATTGAATACCTAATATGCTGTGTATATTAACTGGAAGTAGCACAAACCAATTTCTCCTCGGTATCAAATCTATCCTTTGTTCATTGGTGTTAAATTGTATTCTGGTTCACTGCAGTCGATTTTCCCCGGCTGAACCGCTCCACAAAAATTAATGATAATAATAATGATAATGATAATAGTATGTTTAACATCAACATTTTCACAAATACATGAATTGTGATGTTGTTACATCAAATTTTAAAACTGGAGATAATTTAAAAAATAAAAATGTATAAATGCTATTATAATTAAACTATATAATATACTATTGATTATTACAAGATAAAATTATGCTTGGAAAAAAATACGACGTAATCTTTTAGTTCTACGTCTTTGTATTTTATCGTTCTTTGCGTTTTTTGTTTGGTAATGGTGCACGGACACCCATGTCTCTAGGAGATGTTTGGAAAGTGGCTCCCCTCCTGACAATCTCTTCAGTTTGTGGCGCTTTGATTGGTTTATCGCACTTTTTGACGGTTTTCATGAAAATCAGGGACTTGATAACAACACGAGATTAAGTTTATCATTCTCTCTGACAAACTTCACTCACATTTATGTCGTAAAGGCAATAAACCACACTTGCTATCGAAAAGTTTGTTTGTTTACATACTTTTCTCGTGTTCTGTCAACAGCCGATAGAAACTTTGCTTTATTGCTTTATTAATTGTTTATCCTATCGAGGTATATTTTGGTCGTGCGATCTTATTGATCGAGTTTTTATCTTGTCCTCACGCTGGCTAAATACATTTTCTTTGACTTGGAAGGAAAATATCAGTTCAGTTTCTTGCTATTGGTTTCACCAGCCATAACATCAAAACTATAAAAATAGCATGATCGTCTTAAAAGATTTAACTGTCAGTAAGTGATGGTTCTGTTTAGCTAATTTTCACGCTGTTCTCTTGTTATAGTGGAGAGATTTGGTTAATTCGAGCAAGGAAAGTTTAAGAATTTAACGATAAACACAATGTACGATCAATAACATACATTGTTTCTTGCATATTCTGTCCAGTCCTATTACAATTTTGCAATATATGAATATTTACGAGAAACGTTTTGGTGTATTGTAATTATAGGTACTTTTCTCCTTCTAGATGGGTAAAATTTAGATAATTTCGCCATCAAATACTCAGATGTGTTTGACGCATAACTTCTCTTTGAACCATCAACCTATTATTCAGTCTAGATTTGATTAGAGTAGAAGACCTGTTAGCTGCAAACCAAATTCTCAAAACTATTTCGGAAGAAAATGTTTAGCAGCTAGAAGGGAGAATTTATATTCAAATGTAAGGAGTTTACCCCCGGCCTTTGTCAAAGATACTAAAAACCCAAATTTAGATTCGAGACTTGATAAAGTAAACATTGAATCAAGATAGGCTTAGTGTAGCATAGAAATCCCGACCAATATATATATGTATAACAAGTTAAAAGGCCTCGAGCCAACAGTGACACCGCGCCAGAAGGATCCAAAAGGATTCACAGTCCAAACCTCGATAAATAATAGGGAAAATATTTTATTACACGAGGACGGACAACTTCGAGCTAAGAAAGACATAAACTCAAATAAAAAGTCTAAGAAAGCTTAATAAAATACGTTTCGGTCCGAGACCTTCATCAGTTGTAATACAAAGACTTACAAATTCCTTAAATAGTTTTATATAGGGCGTGATGACACATATAAACAAAAACAGTAATTACTACGCGAAAAATTATCACAATAAAAAATTGTCGAATCCACTGAAAATGTTAAGGAACCAGCCANGTTCAAGAAGAAATAAAGACACCAACTTGGAGGAAATAGGATTTAGAGTTGAAGTTGAGAGTATTCAAAACTGCACAATTAATTTTGCGAATAATGGGAAATTGTAAAAGAGCGAATTTCTGTTCTAACAAGAATTTATCAGGAAAAATAAACTTTGTTGTTTATTGCGGTTAATGTTTTTGTATGCTGCCTTTTGGGAATAATTTGGTATTACAATGAACGTGATCTTTATATAAAGACCTCTAGTGATCTTTATATAAAGATCACAGTAATCATATTTTCATTAATAATTCAGTAATGATTTCATTATTTATGAATTGTACCCCGATTTTCCCCGAGACCGAAATCAAAACCCTCTCAGGGCTTTTCAGAATGATCAGTCTATACCAACTATAAAGGTTCATACAGGTGATCGATTTGCCTCGTGTGATAGGCTAATCGGCTCATGAATTATTAACGAATTTTTAAAATATATATAATGACTTTTTAGCATTTAAAATTGCTAAATATCATTATTAAAATCTATTATTGCACTAAGGAAGAAGCTTCTCTCAAACTGCCCCGTTCGACTCTGTCATAGAGTTCCAAGGTTAAGAATAGTATACGGGGCCTGTATGGCACCATTTCGTATTCATATATTCATGAAGTAATATATTCAAGTTGCATAGGTGTACGAGGGTGTTATAAGGGTTAAATATTACGTAGGTGATTAAAGGGGGTTAGGGTTTGAATGTCGCGTAGGTGTACGAGGGTTTTTAGGGTTAAATTTAGTGAGTAGGGTGAATAAAAACATCATAACGCCTTTTCAAAAACAAAAGATTCCAAGATGACGGAGGGATTAACTATGGTTTATTTATTCACTCTGCACGATATATATAAATAGGTAACATAAGCTAGAAAAGCTGTCATCATGTCTTTGTATAATTGATGAAATGTAGCATGTTCTCCTACTTCTGAATCATAGGTTTCAATCTCGTCCATGTATCTTGTCACTTGTCTACGTATTTCACAAAGATCTTGCGTGGTAGCTTTTTCTTTTACAATGGCAAATAATTCGTCTAGGAGGCTCCAGCCCACTGGGGATTCTGTTCAATATCTTCGTCCAAACAGTTGTTTTTCAGATCACATGGTGTATGGAGTGTTTGTAGAATGTAAGAAGATGAGGTTATACATAAATGTGTTTGAACGTAAATGTCGCTCTGATTGACAAGCTGACATCATGTCTCTGTACAATTGATGGAAAGTAGATTGTTCTCCCACGTTGGAATCATATGTTTATGGCAACCTCCACGCGTTCTGGGTCCGAAGGATTCGGCCGAGTGGGTTCTAATTAAATATTCATACAGCGTAGGTGCCGAAGGGGGGTTTTAGGGTTTATTCATGCAGCGTAGGTGCACGAGGGGTGTAGGGTTGTTGGGGTTTAGGGATGTTGGGGTCAGGGTTGTTGGGGTTAGGGTTGTTGGGGAGGCTAGGGTTAGATTTCACATAGGTTCGTGTGTAGGGTTTTTTCGCATCTCATTTTAAAAAATAACGGTACAAAAAGTACAAAAGAATCTAAGATGGTGGAGGGATTAACTCCAACACACTGTTTTCGCATACGTAATGTTTATTGTCACACAACACAGGGAAAAGAGAATGGACCCTATATTACGCGTTTGGGTATCGCGGGTTAGACATACTAATCTAACCGACTAAGACTGTGAGCAGAAGTTGTATTTATTAGATTCCCAAAAGGTTTTCACACGCATGTAGTACAGGTTATCCAGGACGTATGACTTTTACCTTTAAAAACTGTAAGAGATGTACGATCGTAAGACATAGGGATTGNATTATCTGTCCATCAAATTTTAATCAAGTCATAGCATCCTTACATGTTTTTCGGATCAAAGTCAATGACCTGTCTGTCCAAATTGTTTCCGAGTTATGACGTGTGTCAATCAATGATAGACCAATGGAAATCTAGCAATGGGTGTATAAGAGTGGCTATGAGTCGGAATGGCATGATCATACGTGGGACCAAAGTGATGATGAAGAAAGTTCGATTTCATCCAATCAGACAAGTGGTGTATCTCACTGAAATTCATCCCTACATAGAAGTCGAAGAGAAGATAAATACAATCAAACCGTTCCTGGATACTCCGTTTAAACACAAAATAAAAGCGGTAAAATAGACGCAACATAGCAAGTACCTATATATAAGCACGTTTTACACAAAACCTCGACATCTATATGTGATTAAGCGATTGGAAGAATTACAAGGAGCATAATCTAAAGACTTATTTAGCTCATATGACATGAACTTGCTTTAGATGTGACGAAACATGACTAAAACGTGGAAACATTGTCACGGTCGCTACGCGACCGCATTCCGGACGTGCGCGCAGGAGCAGCAAAGAGGAAGAGAAGCAAAGAGTGTACATAGAATGATCACTGTAATAAACTGTTTTAAACTGTCACGTTTGTTAGTGGTAATGTCTTACCGCGAGTGTATATGAGTCCCACGAACTGAGTAAAGTTGAGGAATAAAATGACTAGAACGAGTGAGTCCACGTGAATAATAAATTATATTACTTAAAGAAAGAGGAGGAATGAGGAGAAGGAATGAGGAGGAGGAGGAGGAGGAGGAGGAATGAGGAAGAAAGAGGAGGAGGAGGAAAGAGGAGGAGGAATGAGGAGGAGGAATGTGGAGGAGGAATGAGGAGGAGGAGGAATGAGGAGGAAAGAGGAGGAGGAAGAATGAGGAGGAGGAATGAGCAAAGAGAACTCGTCCTTATAAGCTAAAAGAGAAAATCCCAGCACCCTCCTTTACTACCAGAAACATGTCTGCAAAGACAGGTCCATTGAAGACACTAGTAGAATCGAACACAGAGGTGTCGCAGGTAACACCCAGAGAGTTTGATGTGATAGAAGTTTCTAATAACGGACTAGCAGATGATGTAGATTTCTAAACTTAGCATGGTCATAAATAAAATTCGACAAAAATCGTTTGCAACAAAATTTTTTTTTGTCTTTGTTTCGCGTAAAAATACACGCACACTATGCCCCCACTACAGCGGTTACACAGTGTTCATTTCCTCCTCTTTTTCATCATCATCATCATCGCTTTCATCCAATAACGGTTTGTTGATCAGACGATTCAATAGGAATTTTCTCCTGTCCACGGCAGCCTCTAATGCCTCCTCCCAATCCATACCGTCTTCATTCATCAATCGTCGAGCGGTATGCATGACTTGCCTATGTATTTTATCCTGTTTAATACGGTTATACCACTTTAGACGATGCAAGTATAACCTTCTCAACTTACGCCTAGCTAAAGGTAAGAGCGATTG